GACGGAGGAAGAGGGAGGGGATGACGGGAGAGAAAGAGGAGAGATGGGAATAGACACGGAGGAGTCAGGGAAGAAGGAGAAGAGAGACTGGGTGACGAAGAAAGCAGAGGGAGAGGAGGAGAAAAGAGAAGAGGAGAGGGAAAGAAGTGGAGGAGGAGAGAGGAGAGTGAGAGAGGGGAAAAGGAGAGGGAGAAGAGAAGGGGAAGACGAGGGAGAGGAAAGAGGAGGAGAGGAGAAAGAAGGAGTGGAGAGCTGAGGAGAGAAGAGGAGAGAGCGTGAGAGCAGGAGAAGACAACAAGGGTGGGGGGGGGGGGTGAGGAAAGAGGGAGAGGAGAGAGGAGGAGTAGAGAGAGGAGGAGGGAGAGGAGAGATGAGGGGAGGAGAAAGAAGGAATGGAGAGAGGAGGAAGGAGAGCAAAGAAGAGGAGAGGGGAGGAGAAAGGAGGAATGGAGAGCGGGTGAGAGAAGAGAGGGGGAGAGCAGGAGAAGATGACAAAGGTGGGGGTGAGGAAAGAGGGAGAGGAGACAAGAGGAGAAGGAAGGAGAAAGGAGGAGTGGAGAGAGGAGGAGAGGTGAGGTGGAGAAAGGAGTGGAGAGAGGAGGAGGGAGAGGAGAGAGGAGAAGAAGGGAGGAGAAAGAAGGAGAGGGGACGAGGAGGGACAAGAAAGAGGAGGAGAGGGGAGAGAACGGCGGAGTGGAGAGCGGAGGAGAGAAGAGGGGGAGAGACCAGGAGAAGATGACAGAGATGGGGGGTGAGCAAAGAGGGAGAGGAGAGAGGAGGAGAAGGAAGGAGTGGAGAGAGGAGGAGGAGAGGAAGGAGAGAGGAGAAGGGAGAAGGAAGGAGGAGTGGAGAGCGGAGGAGAGAAGAGAGAGGGGGAGAGCAGGAGAAGATGACAAAGGTGAGGGGTGAGGAAAGAGGAAATGGAGAGAGGAGGAGAGAGGGAGGTTTATTGTGAAATCACGGCCAAACCCACCACAGTCACGTCATCTGAGTCACACACCACGTCAAACATCTTTGATCATGTTGCGGCAAAATCGGAAAATATTTGGATTTTTCTGGTTCCATCAGATCTAAACCAGGTCTATATCAGAACCAAACAAGGTCTAATCTACAAATGAATCACGTCTCCAAACTAAATCAAGACTAAACTAGGTAAAAATCTAGACTAAACCAGATCTAAAACAGGACTGAACCATGATGATTCACGGTTTTAACTTGAAATAAATGACGCAAAATCAGGACTAAAATACGTCTACGGATGCGCTCGGGCTTGTTTGGTCCTGCGTGGTTTGATACCAGTTAATTAGTCCACATGTAGACTTGGTTGGGTCCTCTTCTAGTCCTGGTTTAGTCTAGACTAACCAAGAACTAAACCAGGTAAACAGAAATGAGATCATGTTTAATAAAGGTGTGAATCAAAGCTGCACTGACACTTGAACAAACAAAATTCGAACTAAACTCTGAACTAAACCCGGACAAGACCAAGACTAGAACTAACCAGGACTCAGACCGGAACCAAACGTAGCCTAAAAGTGGACTAAATCAGAACTAAAGCAGGTCACATGACAAAAACTTTATGGATAGAAGCTCTGTTACTCAAATTCGACTTTAATTTGAGCTTTATTTTAACACAGTCTGATGTGAAAATGCTGATTTAGGTCTGGTTACTAATGTGCCCACTGTGTCTCCATGGTAACTGCTGAACATCCCACCATAGACAAACATAGAGAACACCTCCAGCATGATGTCAAAGTAAAGTATGAATACAAGGACCAGCTCTAAAGACTAAACTTCGAGTAAAACAAACTAAGAATCCAAAGGGAGTGCCCAACAGCGAAAAAAACACCGTCTTTCCTTGTAAACTCTGCACCTGCCCCGTCTCCTACCTGTTAAAGCCACTAAACACGGGTTGTTTATCTAACGTTTTTTCACCATCAACGAAGAATGTGAATTATCCAACATGGCCGCCAACAGGAGGATGGAGGAAGCATTAGCCAAGTCCCAGAGGTGATCCTTTAAACTGCAGAACGCATTAGAGACTGCCAGGGCCAAAGGGAAAGACCGGGATTTAAAACACTGTGTATCTGAGATTTAAAGGGACACATATGGAGCAGGGGAACGACACAACAACTTACTCCAAAATCTGCAAACAGGCCCATGAAAAGGACATAGAAGCAAGAGAAGTAGTAACAGAACTAATAGTAGCAGTAACCTAGTACTAGTAGTAGTAGTAATCCCAGTAGTAGAGCTATGGTAGAAAGAGTTGAAATACAATAGTTCTTCATTGAAAAGTTATGGAGGTGTAGTGGTGGTTGTAATGGCAGTAGTAGTAATATTTGTAGTATTAGTAGATATTATTAAATGAGATACATGGAGAAATGTATTGTTCTACATGTAGTAGTTGTCTTTATTGATAAGTTAATTGTAGTAATAGCAATAATAGTAGTAGTGGTAGTCATAGTAGTAGCAGAAGTAGCACTAGTAGTATGAATACAGCTAATATTTGAAATACTTCAAACTATAGTTCTTTACTGATAAGTTGTTGTTGTTATAGAGGTTGTAAAAGTAGTAGTAGCAGTAATACAAATATGGTAGATTAAATTAGATAAGTGAGGAAGTAGTAGTAGCAGCAGCAGCACAAGTAGTATGGATGTAGTACTTGAAATACTATAGTTCTTTATTGACAAGTATTTGTGAAGGTTGTAATAGTAGTAGCAGTAATACTGGTAGTATAACTGTACTGCTAGTATACAATAGTATCAGATTAGATAAGTGGGGGAGTGTATATTTTGTGACTGTGTAGTAGTAGTAGTAGTAATAGTAGTAGTATTATGGAAGTAATACTAGTAGTATAATAGTGCTGGTAGTATACAATAGTATTCGATGTAGGGAAGTTTATTTTTTGTGACTGTGTAGCAGTAGTAACAGTAGTAGTAGTAGGAATAGATCTTCATTGACAAGATTGGTGACAGTAGTTGTAGTAGTTGTAGTAGTAGTAGTAGCAGTAGCACTAGTAGTATGGAAGTAATACTTGAAATACTAGTTCTTTATTAACACGCCGTTGTGCAGATTTAATAGTAGTAGCAGTAATACTGGTAGTGTAATCGTACTGCTATTATACAATACTATCAGCTTAGATAAGTGGAGGAATTTATTTTTAGTGATAGTGTGTAGTAGTAGTAATAGTAGTAGTAGTAGTAATAGATCTTCATTGACAAGATTGGTGACAGTAGTAGCAGTATTAGCAGCAGTAGCACTAGTAGTATTGAAGTACTACTAATACTAATACTTATACTAATATTACTATTACTTAATATATACTAATACTTGAAATACTAGTTCTTTATTGACAGGTGGTTGTGAAGACTATAATAGTAGTAGCAGTAATACTGGTAGTATAATAGTACTGGTAGTATACAATAGTATTTTTTGTGACTGTGTAGTAGTAATAGTAGTAGTAGTAGTAGTAATAGATCTTCACTGACAAGACTGATGATAGTAGTAGTAATAGAATAGCAATAGTAGTAACAGTAGTTGTAGTAGTAAAAATAGTCGGTAATGCTAGATATTAGATAAGTATGGAATTCACTCGTAGAAGTAGTAGTAGTAGTAGTACTCTTTGACATTGCTTCTGTCTGCATCACCAGCTTACTCACTGTACGCCAGAGATGAATTCGAGATGAATCAACACAAGTGCAGTTACAACATTTTCAATTATCCCACGTCCCAAAAGTAACTCATCATAATTAAGAAAGAGCAGACGAGTACATTCTGGTAAACGAAACAACACGGTATGACTTGGCGCGGTGATCAAAACAGCAGTCAACCACAAGTCCTGGCAGTGCTTCTGATGTGCCTTTGAGCAAGTCCCTTCAGGCGCAGTTTAACTCCTGAACCCGCAGCCTCTGGCACAGCTGGAATCCCATAAAAGCTGGCTGTCTTAACGTCTAAATTGTCAATCTCCTCCTCATCCTCGTAGTCTATTATTAACGAGGATAGAGCATACCTGCATACTAAACAACGTAATGGTTAAGTGAGTGAGAGGAAATTAGTAAGACTTAAGTTACTCAGATGAATTATTCAGAAGTTACCGTAAGAGGCTTGGATCTTAAAGTAAAAACATGGTTAAACATACAATTACATGGTTTTAGCAAAGAATTAAGGGAATATTTGGGAATTTCAACGCTTTATAACCAGAAAATACAAAATTCAGCTGTGTATAACGTAACTAGAAAGCAATGTTTGGCAATGTGGACAGAAAATAAGGCACACAATGGAAAAATAAAATAACAATAACTAGGTCCACTGGTGTATAAATTAATTAAAAGGTGCACTGTGTAACTTGTCTTGCTTGTCTCCATGGAGATGTTCTGGCATTAAACATTAAACATCTCGCATTTACTCAATAATACGGGTTTTTACTGCCATACAAACCTGCATTGTTACTGTGGGTGGGCTCGCCTCTCCATAGACCTGGCATTACACTTGTGACTTGACTCTGTGGCATCAACTGGTCCCTGTGCGTAAATAAATAAGTGCAATTATGCCATACTTTGGGTCATTCCGGGCAACATCTCCATGGCGAGAAGCAGGTGACGGATCCTCCAAAAGAAAAGTTACACAATACAGCTTTAAATGTAAAAGTTAAACACGAAATGGCCTCGCTTGGTCCGCTCGTGCTAGTACCTCCGTGGCAATTACATTCCTGTAGTTTTAATCTTGGCACCAGCATCAGCGCTATGGGACAAGACTAAACAAGAGGAGCACTGCAGCGTGAATCTACATTTTAAGCTGCAGGCTATTAATGACGGTATTTGCAATGTTCCTAAGAATTAAAAGCATGGATTTTTTACTGAAACAAGTTTAAAATAGTCTTGCGCGCTTAGCCTACATGGCGTCAACATAAAAACTCCCCAACCGTTAAGATCCCCGTAGCGCAAAGAAACTCGTAAAAAAAAAGATATGTCCCGGCATGAAAACATCTGCAAAACTTCACTTACCGTTGCGGCGAAGTGTAAATATTCCAACAAAAGGAGTTAATCCGATAAACTTTATGTGTTTTATCCACAAATAGTTACTCCAAAAGTGTTCTGTAAGTTTCGGGAGAGACAGGGATCGTGCGCTTTGGAAAGGCAACCACATTCTAACCCGCTTGGAGCCGTGGCAAGTAAAGGAATACATGTGCGGATCAAGGCGGGGATACGGGGGGTGGGTAGGTTCAAGACAACACTTAAAATATAACTATAACATGCTAAAAGTTACAAATATGGGTTAAAACAATACGTAGATAAACTTTTGTGCGGTGCGTAACGTGCGTAAAAGTGCCAAATGTTGGATCATGTAAAATAAAGTCGTAGCGCAAACTTGGACCTCCCCTTTTTTTGAACATTTGGTTTGGTCCACGGCTGCCTTTCATTCCATTGCTCCCCACCGCGTTTAGGATGGTCCCTCTCTCTCTCTCTCTCTCTCTCTCTCTCTCTCTCTCTCTCTCTCTCTCTCTCTCTCTCTCTCTCTCTCTCTCTCTCTCTCGCATTTTCTAGCTCTCATTGTCTCTCTCTCTTCCTATTTTCTCTCTTTCCTTTTTTCTTTATTTCTCTCTCTCTGCCTCTCTCACTCTCTCTCGTTCTTTCTATCACTCCTTCCTTCTCTCACTCTCTCTTCCTATCTCTCCCCGGCTCTCTTTCTGTCTCTCTCTCTTCTCTTCCCTTTCTCGCTCTCATTGTCTCTCTCTCTCTCTTTCTATTTTCTCTCTTTCCTTATTTCTTTATTTCTCTCTCGTTGCCTCTTTCACTATCTCTCCTTCTTCTTATCCCTTTCTCTTCTAAATCTCTCTCTCACACTTTCTGTCCCTCTTTTTTCCTATCTCTCCATGTTCCTCTCTCTCTTCTTTCTTTCTTTCTTTCTTTCTCTCTGTCTTCCTATCTCTTTCTCTCTCCCTCTTTTTCTTCCCCTCTCTCTTTTTCTTCTCTTTCTGTCTCTCCCTCTCTTTTCCTCTTTTTCTTTTCTCTCTCACTGTCCCTCTCTCTCTCTCCGCCTCTTTCAACCTTCCTCTTTCTTCCTAATTTTCCTATCTCTCTCTCCCTCTTGCACCTTCTCTCTTCCTATCTCGCTCCCTCACTCTCTCCCTCTTCCACCTTCTCTCTCTCTCTCTCTCTTCTTTTTCCCTCTCTCCCTCTCACTTTGGAAACTCGGTCGGTTGAGAAATAGTAACGGCGTCGCTCGGATGTGTCCAAAGCGCTCAGAAAAGTCGAGTGATGTAAGTCTGTTTATTTTTGCACAACATTGCGCACCGCACTCGCCCGTGTTGGGTTTTATATGCCCGGGTTTAAACTCCGCAGGCAGGACACCGCGAACAGTGCAGTTACCAGGCAATAAATCTATTTACGAGCGCAAACCAAGCACAGGAATGGGGAAAAAGGAGGCCAGTCAGTTTGAATAAGACGTAGCGCTCTGGCAGCATCTGGTCACTCAGCAGTTTTATCGGTTAATCGGAGGAGTACCCGGATTAAACACCCAGCAGCAGCCTCCTCCTCCTCGAGACTTGGGCCTACTTCAAACAGAACATTCAAACACAGATCCTCCAGCCGAAGTGGTCTGGGGACACAAAGAAAACTCCATGGGTTTCAGAATGATGAAGTGATGACAGTTACCATAGCAATTAACAATTTAAGACTAAATATTATATAAAGTAGTATCTGCTTATTTTCCATCGTAAGAAGACTAATCTTTATGGTCAACAGTACTCAAAACAGCACTTAAAGGATACTGAAACCCATGTACAGAACCGAGTATTAACTTCTACTGAGCACTGCTCTTAGTAGTAAAAGTAATAGTAGTAGCTGCAGCAGTAGTAGTAGTAGTAGTAGCAGTAGCAGCAGCGGTAGCATGAGTAGTAACAGTAGTAGTAGTAGTAGTAGTAGTAGTAGTAGTAGTAGTAGTAGTAGTAGTAGTAGTAGTAGTAGTATAGTAGTAGTAGTAGCAGCAGCACTAGTAGCACTAGTAGTAGTAGTAGTAGTAGTAGTAGTAGTAGTAGTAGCAGTAGCAGCAGCAGTAGCAGTAGCAGCAGTAGTAGTAGTAGCAGCAGCACTAGTAGTAGTAGTAGTAGTAGTAGTAGTAGTAGTAGCAGTAGTAGTAGTAGTAGTAGTAGTAGTAGTAGTAGTAGTAGCAGTAGTAGTAAGTAGTAGTAGTAGTAGTAGAAGTAATAGTAGTAGCAGTAGTAGTAGTAGCAGCAGCACTAGTAGTAGTAGTAGTAGCAGCAGTAGCAGTCAGCAGTAGTAGTAGTAGTAGTAGTAGTAGTAGTAGCAGCAGGCAGTAGTAGTGGTGGTAGTGGTAGTAGTAGTAGCAGTGGTGGTAATAGTAGTAGTTGTAGCAGCAGCACTAGTAGTAGTAGTAGCAGTAGCAGCAGCAGTAGCATGAGTAGTAGTAGTAGTAATAGTAGTAGTAGTAGTAGTAGTAGTAGTAGTAGTAGTAGTAGTAGTAGTAGTAGCAGCAGCACTAGTAGCACTAGTAGTAGTAGTAGTAGTAGTAGTAGTAGTAGTAGTAGCAGTAGCAGCAGCAGTAGCAGTAGCAGCAGTAGTAGTAGTAGCAGCAGCACTAGTAGTAGTAGTAGTAGTAGTAGTAGTAGTAGTAGTAGCAGTAGCAGCAGCAGTAGCAGTAGCAGCAGTAGTAGTAGTAGCAGCAGCACTAGTAGTAGTAGTAGTAGTAGTAGTAGTAGTAGAAGTAGCAGTAGTAGAAGTAATAGTAGTAGTAGTAGTTAGCAGCAGCACTAGTAGAAGTAGTAGTAGTAGTAGCAGCAGTAGCAGCAGCAGCAGTAGTAGTAGTAGTAGTAGTAGTAGTAGTAGTAGTAGTAGCAGCAGTAGTAGTAGTAGTGGTGGTAGTGGTAGTAGTAGTAGCAGTGGTGGTAATAGTAGTAGTTGTAGCAGCAGCAGCACTAGTAGTAGTAATAGTAGTAGAAGTAGCAGTAGTAGAAGTAATAGTAGTAGTAGAAGTAGCAGTAGCAGTAGTAGAAATAGTAGTAGAAGTAGCAGTAGCAGTAATAGTAGTAGTGGTAGTAGTAGTAGTAGTAGAAGGGTAGTAGTAGCAGCAGCATTAGCATCAGTAGTAGTAGTAGTAATAATAGTAGACGTAGCAGCAGCAATGTTCGCAATAGTAGTAGTAGTAGAAGTAGTAGTAGTAAGAGCTTAAACTACTACTTTAGTTTTTAAAATACACACATTACCACAGACATAATTAGAATGTTTATGTACATAACAGGACAAAAATACAATATAATAGTTCTGGGTAAAGAAATAGCACCATGGACTTAGAACAATGAACAGTTAGAAGCGTTGCCATGGCAAATAACAACATAAACCAAAATTTTCATAATGGCGAAAAAGCCCTCAAAGTGTTTTATAACAGAGGAAAGTGAAACCGGTGAATAGTTGTTTAATAATACCAGGAGCACGTGAGGATCTTGTTTAGTTTGCGTCACCCATGGGAGCTCACATGAGGAGGACTGGCCTGGGAACGTTCTGGAGCCAAGAATACACTACAGGACAGAGAGAGAGGGAGCAGGCTGCAGACCTCCACCCACAGGACCCTCACGTGACTCCAGCCTCACGCCCCTGAAAGTAAACAAACAGTGTCCAAGCCAAAAGACGCCAAAGTCCACTGTCCTCACTACTGCTTTTTTTTCCCCAATGTGATGAAGTTTTTTACACTAAAGATAAGCCACCTTCTTTTTCTTACCTTAACCATTACAAATGTGTGCCTTTCTCTCTCTGTCTCTCTCTCCCTCTCACACACTTACCCTCTCATTGTCTCTATCTTCATGTCGCTCTAATTTTTTCTTTCTTTCTCTCTCTCTCTTTTCCTATCCCTCTCTCCATCCCTGCCCCCCTCTCTCTTTCTCTCTTAATATCTCTCTGTCTCTCTTTTTCACTCTTCTTTAATCTCTTTCCCTCTCTCTCTAAATATCTCTCTCTATCTCTCCCTCTTTCTATCCCCCTCTCTTCCTATCTTTGTCTAAATATCTCTCTATATATATCGCTCTCTTACTCTTTCAATCTCTCTCCCTCCCTACCTCTCTCTTTCTCTAAGTATCTCTCTATCTCTCTCACTTCTTCAATCCCTTTCTCTTTCTGTCTCAACCCCCCCCTCTCTCTCTCTCTCTCACCCTATCCCTCTCTTTCTCCCTCTGTCTAAATCTCTCTCTCTTTTTCTCTCTATGCGCTCACTTTTTCAATCCCCTTCTCTGTCTATCTATCTATCTAACCCTCTCTCTCTCCCTCTGTCTAAATATCTCTTTATCTCTCTCACTTTTTCTATCAATCTCTCTTCCTAGCTCTCTCCCTCCCTCCCCCTGTCTCTCTCTTCCTATCTCCCTCCCTCTCTCTTTCTATAAGTATCTCTCTATCTCTCTCACTCCTTCAATCCCTCTCTCTTTCTATCCCCCCTCTAAATATCTATCTCTATCTCTCACTCTTTCTATCCCTCTCTCTTCCTGTCTCTCTTCTTCTGTCTAAATATCTGTCTCTATCTCTCTCTTTCTCACTCTTTCTATCAATCTCCCTCCCTCCCTCTCTCTTCCTTTCTCTATCTCTCTCTTTCTCTAAGTATCTCTCTCTGTCGCTCTCACTTCTTCAATCCTTCTCTTTCTATCCCCCCTGTCTCTTTCTTTCTCTCTCTCTTTCTCTCTCTCACTCTTTCTATCCCTCTCTTTTCCTGTCTCTCTCCCTCTGTCTAAATCTCTCTCTCTATCGTTCTCACTCTTTCTATCAATCTCTCTTCCTTCCTATCTCCCCCCACCCTCCTTCCCTCTCTTGTTCTCTCTCTTCCTATCTCCCTCCCTGTTTCTTTCTCTAAGTATCTCTCTATCGCTCTTACTCCTTCAATCCCTTTCTCTTTCTATCTCCCTTCCTCTCTCTCTCACTCTACACTCTTTTCCTCTCTCTTCCTAGCTCTACCTGTCCCCCCCTCCCTCTCTCTAAACATCTATCTCTATCTCTCACTCTTTCTATCCTCTTTCTTCCTATCTCTCTCCCTCTGTCTAAATCTCCCTCCCTCTCTTCCTATCTCCCTCCCTCTCTCTTTCTCTAAGTATCTCTATCTCTCTCACATCTTCAATCCCTATCTCTTTCTCTTTCTTTCTCTCTCTCTCTCTCTCTCTCACACACACACTCTTTCTATCCCTCTCTCTTCCTATGTCCATCTGTCTAAATATCTCTCTCTATCTCTCTCACTTCTTCAATCCCTTTCTCTTTCTCTCTCTATTGCTATCTCGATCTCTCAGTCTTTCTATCCCTCTTTCTTCCTAACTCCCCCTCTCTTTCTCTCTCTCCCTCTCTTTTCCTTTCTCTGTCGTCTTAATCAGACTCAGGGCGTACGGCGTCACATTCATGGACAAACTCAATCTAATAAGTGTGTGTTATTTCTGTTTGTGTCACACAGAAGACGACACTCTGCCCGTTCAATCTGTCATGTGTGTGCGACATGGCCGACTGTGATCGTTTCCCTTTCACAAGAAGACGAGAGCACAGAAGAGACAACACAAAGTTAATTCCAGGTTAGGAAACTTTTAGACATGTATTGAGGATTAAATGTGCAATCTTTGAAGTATTAATAGGCTCTGGTCACGCTTACGACACAAAACCAGCAGACGTGTGGAAACATGCGGATGATGACTTCCAGTGGCCTTTTATAAATTGTCTATTCATTTGTGTATTATAATGTGTCTAACTTAATAAATAAAGAAATGTGTTCCGTTATACTCGGCAGATCAAGAGTTACACCCAGCCGCCTGTAAGTGACACTGAGGACACGATTAAAGTCACGTCCCCCATGGAAAGCTTTGGCAGGTCATGAAGACGCTGCTGCTGAATCCACGGTTTGATCACGTGTTTCCAAGCGTCTTCGGGTAAGCGTGTTTAGAGCCTTTAACTGCAAAAATAAAAAAAGAGAGCTTTTAATAACACTGAATTGCAATCTAAGGCAAAAACTAATAAAAACAAATTGTAATTAATTTGCTTATAAAGAGTAGTATGAAGGTGTGTAACCAGATTCTGTTGCTATACACACTGAATATAAGTTTAATGTTGTTTAATTTAAATTTACACTGATGTTGGTTTGAGTGGTCACAGCTGCAGTGGTCAGACTCACATGAACTTTAAAGGGACAGTCTGGAATTTTGGACATAGGACCTCATTTCCTAATTTACCAGAGTGTTGGAGACGTGTGGAGACACTTTTTAAAATATTCCATCCAGTCCTTATATTTGCAGAGGTCGCTGGTGCTTGACTAATGTATGTCAATGGTCATAGTTATCCTGCCACTAAAAACAATCTAAAACACTCCACAAAAACACCTGAAACAAATCTATTATCACACCAGACTGTTGATGTGAATGTCTGTGTTGATAGAATAATGTTTGAAATAAAACCAACTGTAGGAGACAGGACTCTGGTGCAGAGGTGTGCGTGCATGTGTGTCTGTGGAAGGGTTTAAAAGTGTGCACTTACCTGTTACCCAGTTTTGACTGAAGGTCAGGGCTGGGGAGCCGTAATTTTTGTTGACCACCACTCTTTCTCTATACTCACCCTTTATTTTTCAACTGGTTCTGTCCATCTTCTTTGCTGTGCTGGGATGCTGTATGTCTGGTAATAAATATACAAAATGCATCCTGGATCCCAGTGTATTAGTTTACAATAGCCTCCATGCGCGTCACAAACTGACCTGATCTGTCCAACTATGCATCCGTGGCATGCCTCACAGCTTTCTATGCCAGGTCTAGTCCAGACTATTTTTTCTTGGCCCTCAAGCTTCCAGGTGAATTGGCCCAAATTACCATGCATCAATTAAAAATGTACTTTTCACTGCAAGTTTTTTGAAAATCTACCTTAATAAAGCTCATATTTAATATTTAGTGTTTAGTGGTTTTAAGGATCTTAGCTTGAATAAAGACTGATGGATCATTCTAACATGTTAAACATGCACATATTTCAATTATTCACTGTATTGAGCTCCAGTCTACGGCTCTTGATCCGCCCTCTGCTTCATCTGTGTTTAGAGATGTGGCTCTTGATGAAAAAAGTTTGGACACCCCTGCACTAGACGGTTTGCAAAAACCCCGGAAGTGTGAGTACGGGCACCAGTCAATCAGCAAGAATATAGTCTGTCTTGGGAATGATTCCCAAGATTGAGGATTTAAAGTCAGAACAGAGAGAATGTTTGGTGAATTTTATCAAGGGGAAAGATGTTATTCCCCTTCTTCCTACAGGATTTGGGAAAAGCTTAATATACCATTTAGCCCCGTTAGTGGCGCATTACATACATCATGACCAAATAGCAGCGATTGGTTAAATAAAAAAGTACCCACCTACTGTTGAGCGAACAAATCCTAATGCTGTGAGATGAGACGGTTTCTATGAAGTGAAACCGGCTGATGAATCAGGCTACAACTCACTGCTGCTGCTCAGACATAAATCCTTCAAATGCAAGGTTGGTTTTACTTCTAAAATTATTCTATCAACACAGACATTTACATCGACAGTCAGGTGTAATAATTGTTTTGCTTCAGGTGTTTTGTGGAGTGGGTAAGACTGTTTTTAGTGGCAGGAGAACTATGGCCATTGACATGCACTAGTCTAGCACCAGTGACCTCTGCAAATACAAGAACTGGATGGAATATTTAAAAAAGTGTCTCCACACGTCTCCAACACTCTGGCTCACTAGGAAATGAGGTCCTACGAGACTTGGGAGTCAAATTGCAGGTTCGATTTATGGAGAGGCGACCCCACTCACAGTAAAAGATGTGTTTTTAAGATATTTTTGAGCGATACATCACACGTGTAGTTGCAAAAGCACAAGACACATTGGTTTAATACTTTACTGTGGACAATTCAAACCAAAGCATTAACATCTCCATGGAGACAAGCCAGAAAGTTACCCATTGCACCTTTAATGCACCTTTAAACAATACTTGATCCAGTAAATGTTTTGGAAATCCACCCGAAACTTGATTGTGTTACCACTTTACAAAGAAAAAAAAAACTTTCATATTCATAAGTTTCGCTCCCCGAAGGACTAACCACAAAAAAGTCAAAAAGAAGGGAAGATGAAAAGGTGTAGGAAGAGTCAGGACAGGTCAAATCCCCTGTGAAAGAACAGACTTTGAAGTGGCATCAGAGACCGAAAGAACGAGACAGTAAGGGAGAGACGGAAGAGAGGAGGAGAGGAAAATGAAAGAGGGGATGAGGAGGGAGGAGAGCGGAGAGGGTGGGTGGGGCAGAGAGAGAGAGACGGAGGCAGAGAGGGACGAAAGAAAGAGAGAAAAACTGTAACAGGGTAACAGAAAAAAAGGGACAGAGAGAGAGGCAGAGAGAGGGAGGAGAGAGAAGGGGATGAGGGAGAGAAAATAAGGAAAGAAGAAGAGGGGGAATGACAGAAGACGAGTGAAAGTGGAAGAAAAAGAGAGAGGAGGAGAGAGAGAAGGGATAAGGCAAAGAGTGGAGAAGAAAAAGATAGAAGATACAGAAACGGGGAGAGAAGAAAGAAGGAACTGAGAGAAAGAACGAGGAGAGTAAGAGTAGAAAGACAGAGAGAGAGGATAATAGAAAGAGAGGGAGAAAGAGGGAGAGATGTTCATGATTGTGTGTTAGAGAGAGAGAAAGAGAGAAGGGACAAGAGAGAAATGAGAAGGAAGTAGAAAGAGAGTGGAAAGGATAGTGAGAGATAGTGATAAAAAAGAAAAAATGAGGGACAGAGAGAGAGAGCTGAGAGAGAGAGAACAAAGGGGCGTAGACCAGAGAACCGCCTTCAAACAGATAAAAACAAAATCATGAATCTTTAATGCTCGAGTTCACGGCAACAGTCACCTCTCAAAGTCAAATACACTTTACTTATGTTGTTATAACGTTGTGTACGGTAATAAGTTAACGGTTCTATATTACGCAAAATTGACTCTTGTGCACTTTAAGTCATGTTATAATGTTGTTACCTCCTAAAAAACAGACCTGGAGTTGCGTAATATTTGAGAAACCCTTTATTACCTGGTCCCTGAAGGGTTGACCAGGTTTTGTATTCACCCTGTGTGTCTGTCCAGCCGTGATAATTCCACCATTTATGGACCGATTGTCACCAAATCTGGTACACGGGTCAAGCCCCCGTGTCCGATGCCACAAAAAAAAAAAAAGTTTGGTGACGACTGGAGGTCACTTGAGGTCACACGGCTCAATTGAAATACTCCATTCTAAAGGATAGGCAATTTCACCAATTTCTGAACCTAAAATATTCACCCAATCATCAGACAAGTTGGCACACACATACCCGGGGCACACTGGATGTTACAGGTTGAAACCGGTCAAGGTCACTTGAAGGTCAAGGTAACCAAGGTCAATTATGCATTTTTGGAATGATCGCGCTATAGCAACAGGAGTGGTCTCAAAATCTCAGAAAAATTATTATCTATTTATAATTCTATGCATTTGTATTATCAAATATTCATAGTTTTCGAGATTATCACTAATTAAAACAGTTCCTTTCTCTTCCAGTGTATGTTGTTAAAATTCTAATTGGAACAAAAATAATTTCCTTTTCTTGTTTTTCTGGTGATACACAACACACTGATCTACAGTCACACAACTAACAGATACACAACTCATGAAAAATGACATTTTTATTACACACTAGTAAACACAGACATTCTCATGTGTGACCAATATCACACAAATGTCCATGGGCCTGTACACATACACACATTGTGTTGTGGATATAAAGATCATGTAATATGGACTGGGCTCCTCATAAACTGCTTCTGTGGTGATGAACTGACCCCATCAATGCCTCATGGGGACCAGGTTGTTATCTCTGATTGCGCTTGTTATTAGTCTGTCTCAAGCTCAAAATGCATTGTTCCACCTTGTGATGTCATGAAGTGGTAGTTTTCAAATGAATATATACATTTTACCTTTAGTAAGCAATTCCAGGTCAGAAACTTCCCAGATGTTTCTAGTGAAGGCACATGGAATTTAAAAACACAGTGGTGCATTTCCTATATTATCATATGACATCACAAGCCGAGGCGGTGATACTATTAGGCAAAAGTGAACAGCTGCCTGGGGGCCCCAAAACTGGAGGGGCCCCCAACCAATTGTCTTTAGTGCCACTAATAGCCAAGGCCTCAGAGCAATTAGATTTTCTCTCAATATGACATTAAATAGTAGTAGTTGACATAAGTAATTTTACTTTTAAACAATAATCAATAGAAAAATTATTATTATATGTAAAGGATCTAAACAAAAATGTAATTGTATAAGCAAAAACATAAAACTACTTTCAGTTCTGGTTATCTAGTAGGCTACATAACTAATAAGACAAGTTTTCAATCCAACATAAGTCAAATAAATAGAGATGTGCATGTCTCAAGAACAAAAGGGAAAAACAGACAATAAATATTAAAAAACAAAATAAAACAAAACAAAAAAATTGTGCATTATAGAGAAATTGCTAACACTGCCACTGATCACAAGGTGGGACAGAATGTTTTCAGTCTGAGAGAAGAGCACAGTTTAAATATGTGGAGTTTGAGTGTTAAACGTGTGAAAAAAAAAATTCTAGGTCTGTTTGTGATGAAGAAACAACATTATAGATCAGAAAATAGGTAGTAATATGGGCCCTTTTAACATAGAAAAATCTAGATAAACTAATACTTGCAGAGTGGTTATCCTGTCTCGTCTCAGTAAAGAGGTTGTGGGTTAGACTCCTGATCTCTCCATCCCTCTTACAGGCTTGACTAAACACATTTCCGATGCTTTTAAATCACCATTGGAGCTGTTTTCAAACCTAGATTAGCATATCTCTCCCTTTGCTTATTTGATTACGGCGGGTGGGAGGAGGCAGGAGCAGGCAGGCGCAGGCAGGAGCAGGCAGGAGCAGGCAGGAGCAGGAGGGGGTGTCTAAAGTGCTGTTTTGCTAATTGAAATGACTCTTGGTGCGTTTGTTTTCCCCAGAGAGAAGAGAAGGGAAGAGGAGCAGCCTGTCCCTCTGTTTAATTGACCCACACTGACCTCCACAATAAAGATACGAGCACCAAACCCCCACACGCTCCCGTCCGGAGGCTGCTGATTGGTGATGAAATTCGGTTATTTTTTTGGTTGGAAATTTAAGTTAATATGTGGAGAAGAGTGAGAATAATAAATGTGAGGTAGAGTTTGGATTTGGTCATCCAATAAAGACGCATTTAATCTGAGGTGAATTTATTGCCCAAAATTGTTTAATAGTCCTTGTTTAGTTTTGGTTTTGTCCTGGTCTAGTCTCTGTTTAGTCCTGGTTTAGTTCTGGTTTAGTCCTGTTTCAGTTCTTGTTCAGTCCTGGTTTAGTCCTGGTCTAGTCTTCTTTTAGTCCTACTTTAGCCCTGATTTATTCCTGGTTCAGTCCTGGTTTGGTCCTGGTTTAGCCTTGATTTAGTCCTGATTTAGTTCTGGTTCGGTCCTTGTTTGGTCCTGGTTCAGTCCTGGTTTAGTCCTGATTTGGTCCTGGTTTAGTCCTGGTTCAATCTTGATTTAGTCCTGGTCTAGTCTTTGTTCAGTCCTTGTTTAGTCCTGGTTTAGCCCTGATTTATTCCTGGTTCAGTCCTTGTTTAGCCCTGGTTTGGTCCTGGTCTAGTCCTGGTTCAGACTTGGTTTAGTCTTGGTCTAGTTTTAGTTTAGTCCTGGTTCAGTTCTGGTTTATTCCTGATTTTGCCCTGGTTCGGTCCTGGTTCAGTTCTGGTTTAGTCCTGGTTTAGTCCTGGTCTAGTCTTCGTTTAGTCCTACTTTAGCCCTGATTTATTCCTGGTTCAGTCCTGGTTTGGTCCTGGTTTAGTCCTGGTTTAGTCTTGATTTAGTCTTGATTTAGTCCTGGTTTAGTCTTTGTTCAGTCCTTGTTTAGTCCTGGTTCAGTCCTGGTTTAGTCCTGATTTGGTCCTGGTCTAGTCCTGGTTCAATCTTGGTTTAGTCCTGGTCTAGTCTTTGTTCAGTCCTTGTTTAGTCCTGGTTTAGCCCTGGTTTAGTCCTGGTTCAGTTCTTGTTCAGTCCTGGTTTAGTTCTGGTCTAGTCCTGGTCTAATCTTCGTTTCGGTTTGGTTTAGTCCTGGTTTAGCCCTGATTTAGTCCAGATTTTTTTCTGGTTTGGTCCTTGTTTGGTCGTGGTTCAGTCCTCGTTCAGTCCTGGTTTAGTCCTGGTTTAGCACTGGGTTAGTCCTGGTTCAGTTCTGGTTTATTCCTGATTTTGCCCTGGTTCGGTCCTTGTTTAGTCCTGGTTTAACCCTGATTTAGACCTGGTTCAGTCCTGGTTTAGTCCTACAGGAGCATTATGAGAAGCTTTACTAAGTTTAAACTTATTGTTACCACCTAAAGGACATTTTTAGTAATATTAACCTTTGTTCAAATATTTAGTTCAGTTCAGTTCAGGCATCAGTCTCTGGAGCTGAGGCTTGTGGGTTCAAGTCTCACCTGAGTTTAGTCAACAAAGGTCTTGAACAGACACTGAGAATGGCTGCAGTCATTTGAAATCTGATTATTATATTGCAGTATAAGACCATTAAAATGAACAGTAAACAGCAAAGTTATCTGATATCTGTCTTGACTGTGGACCCTCTCATTACTTATATCAGATTTTTACTTATAATACAGCGTTTCTTGTCCTTTAGGTACGAGTACAGTTTTCACAGCCAAAATCTGATGACTCATGTAATCAAATTTCCCAATAATTAGATTTAACCGTCTAAAAATGAATCTGATTTGGTGTGTGTTCAGATGCACAAGAGAAATCGAATTATCCAAAACACCTGGTTACACGTGTCAGTGAATCAATAGGTTTTCAGAGTTAACTGTTGTGTTTTAAAGGCAAAATAACTCTTTCTATCTTTAACATTTTCATTTCCATTTCCGTTTTTTCCGTTTGTCTTTGCCACATGAGTTTGATCTTTTGTTGCATCATTTTCCTTGTCAAAACCTGCACAGACGTGAGAAATACAACAGATTACGCACATCAGACACAAAGTAACATTTCATAATTCTATAGAAATCAGATCATTAACTGTAATGATATCAATAATATGACTTTTACGTGACTGTTTCTTAATTCAACCTTATTATTCACAGTTATAGATTTGACAGTTTGGATGTAATACCAAATTCTGTTCAAAAATGAGCTTCATATTGTGTGGTGGTTTGTCTGAGGAACCCCCAGAGGCCCACAGAACGCTTTTAACATGTGTTTTTGGGGCTCTGGTGTGAAATATGAGTCCTGCTCCAGATGTCCTGTAACCGTCCCCATGATCTCTTCTTCTTTTGGATCACAACAAGGATCAATCTCACTCAAATATGTGGGGTCAGCAGAGGTGAGCGCCCCCTACTGTCACTGCATCAATGGTTCAGTGTGGCATCAAAGTCAGTAAACTATAACGATTACTAAAGGGAATATCTGACTTATAATTAAAGGGCCATAATACACCATTTTCCGATCTATGTTATAATGTTGTTTCCTCATCAAAATCATACCTCGAGTTCTGTTTTGTTTCATTCACACATGTTTAACACACAAGCGTTGCATATTTAGACTGAGCTCTCATGTGGTAATGCAGGAAGTACTTTGCTGAGTTTTAAAACTGTAGACACTTTCACTAGAATCATTCAGATAATTTCAGACCTGAAAATGCCAATCTCTACTAAACAAAAGATAAAAGATAGCTGTTAACTTGAACTACTGTATTTTCCGAACTATTAGACCCTCTGGATTATAAGGTGCACTGTCATTAAATGGTCTGTCTTCGAACTTTTTTCACAAATAAACTGCACTGGACTTTAAACGCAACACAACAGTGTGATGGGTCAGTTGGACGTTGTTTGTGTGTTCAGTTGTGGCGTGTAGGGAGGGTGCTGTCTGGGACCGCTGGATTGTCGGCGTGTTCGCAGTGACTCAGTTGTTCAGTTGTGTCTAGAAGTGGCACATTGTTTGTTCCGTCATTCTGTTCCTCGTCGGCGTGGAGTGATGAGTGTGGCTGCGGGTGTTTTTCGCTGTGTGGTCGCTGTCTGCTCCGTGCGTATTTGCGTGCGCTGCAGGTGGTGCAGCTTTGTAGTTTACTGAAGTCGTGCTGGGATGATGGGGTTGGAGGCTTAAGAGAGCGTCCAATAGTGCGGGAAATACGGTAACTACCGCTGCCACTACATGACATCACAAGGTGGAACAGAACATTCTGAGCCTTGGAAATGAAGACAGACTAATAATAAAGGATTACTCAAGCACAAGTGAATGAAACAAAACACAACTCCAGGTCTGTTTTTAATAACGTAATAACATTCTAACATGGCTTAAAGCGCACACGAGTCAATTTTGCATATTATAGAACCTTTAATACTTATAATTGTGACTGGGTGACCGTTCATATTGATTTATTACAATTTGATTCAATTAGATTTTTTTGTCTTAATAAAACAAGTAAAAGTCAGTTTCAATACAAATTTTCTGAACGTGAACAATATAGACTTTTAATCTATGTAATTTAACACAAGAATTTGACCCATTTCTTCATGTTTGTACAGATCGAAACTCCAGGGTTAACCATTTTTACACGCCTTCGCAGCTTTGTACCCTCGGCATGGCGGGGCGGGTCTGTTGAATCCAGTGCCCATGTGGCTGCAGGACCCAGATGGCTGCCTGCCTGCCCACGTTGGGTTAACTCTACTCCCCTGTCCTCCCCAGTTGCAAGTCTAGTCATAATGTTTGTACTGTGTTTTAACTATATGCTGATGTTGCTGAGGTGTTTTTTTTTTTTTTTTGTATGCTGGTGCCATATTATGCCCTGAGAGGAGCATGATCTGGGGGCTGTTCTCTTTTTTTTCCCCGTCTCCCTATCCTCATGTTATGCTGCATTGTTTCTTCCTCTGCTTCCTGTCTTCCAGTCCAGTTTGTGTCTAGTCTCCCATGTCATATTGAATTATGTGTTTGTAAATGTATGGATGGGGTGACAGGTCCCATTTCGATTTCTTTGTATGTGTAGTGCATGCGAAGAAATTGACAAAGAAAGGCATTCTGATCTGACTCTGAGTTTTATTCAGAATAAGATGGGAGATTTTGTTATTTGTGAAGAAAAGAGAATTATAGTACTCCAAATATTTCAGATTTTCTAATTTTTGGCATCCATTCTAACTGCGATTAATGCTGCAGCCCATAGTCAGGACCACTCTTTGAAAGCCTCAGACAGAGCATGCCTACAGTTAGCGGGGCAGGTGAGAGGATTGTTGTTTTTTACTTTAGTTTTGCGGCTCTTTGGGGAGCTGGAGCTGAGAAGAGGGAGGAGTGTGACTGGAACAGGCCTCACTGATGAAGGGAAGAAGAGACTCTGGAGCACAGTAACTGAAATGGACTAAAATGGATTTTGGTAGTTTGAATAATTTGGAGAGATGCATGAAGCAAACAACTGATACCGCACACGTATGTCTACAGTGGAATGTTCAGCAGTTACCATGGAGACACATTAGCAAACACGGCCAAAAAGTTTTAAGATTGTCTCAAAACTTCAAACTAAAAATACAAAATGGATTTAAACAGCACATTTTCAGCATCCATGATCTTGTTTAGGAGTTTGCAATGTTGGAGAGTAACTGATTACATGTACCAGCATTACGTATTCAGAGTACAAATTATGAGTAACTGTATTCAGTTACAGTTACTGTTTCAATGAGTGGTAATTGGATTACAGTTACTTTGTTAAAATAAATGGATTACATGGTGGGATTTTGGGCTAAACCAGGACTAATCAGATGTAAAAACATGAACTATCCTGTGGCGGCTCATTTTGTTGATTTTAACCATCCTATCTCTTCCTTAAGATATATTGGCATTGAACATGTGGAACTGCTCCTAGAGGTGGGAATCTTGAAATGCTCCTGTCAAAAAGAGAACAATTCTGGATTCACCAACTTAAGACTCTAGCTGCTCACGGACTCAATGTGGAGTTTGATCTAAGATGTTTTTTGTGATGGACTTAAACTATTTCTGTATTTCATAAAATGTTTTTTATTTAAATATCTAAACAGTTTTTTCTTGTTGTAGAGTGGGCTGAACTCACTGGGTGACCTCACTTTAGGACCTCCTATTCATTGGAGGGTTACATGAGCACCTGGGCTGGCAACTGTTTTGTGTGCTGTGGTCCAAAGCAAGAAAAAGATCTGATGAAGGCTTTTTTTGCCGAAACGTTATTTTGTTAATAAAAAAGCTTTTGGACATCAGCCATCCGAGTGTGCTATGCATTTTTTCACCCTGGTCTAAACCAGGACTAAACCAAGACTAAACTA